CTATACTTACAAAGATCAGAATCGTGTAATTCATGGAATTCATAGTAAGACTGTTTGGAAACAAAAGTTAGACTTTGAAGAAGCAGAGAAGAAGAGCATTGATGCCTTTGAACCTTGGTGTTCAAGAAGACTCTTGAGAAAATGGGCAGCCAAGAAAACAGACTGATGGATCATCAAACAAATCAACCCAGAGTTCTCAATCAAGATACAAATGACCAGGCTGAGATTATGATACTTTAGGCACATTATGCAAAAATCTAGCTCTCTGGAAAAGGTTCTAATGCTGGGAAAAGTGGAAGGAAAGAGAAGAAGAGGATGACCAACAACACTGTGGATTAATTGGTTATGTGGCAGCAAGAGCACCATTGGAAGATCTGAAGGACCAGGTTAGAGATGGAACAACATGGAGAAAATCTATCTACATGCTTGCTAGAAGCTAAAAATGACTTGATGGCACACCATCAATCAATTTAAAAAAATCTTATTCTCTGAATTTTGAACAATGTTGCCATGAAAGAGAATTGTGTGATAGGTAGATATGGGTATAATGAGCTTGCCTTTAAGGTGGGAAAGAAGAATGAAGAGTTTTCCAGGAAAGAAATTGCACACTGATGATGGCGCCACTATAAATGGAGACAACTACTGTGGCAGAATGAAGAGCTTGTGAGTAGACCATCTCTTCCTAATTCCTCTCTGACAAGGATAGAACTTGGGATCATCCACAAGTGCTCCAGACAGTTACTCCTTGTGAGGAGATTGCAAGACAGCAGTCTCTGGCAGGTTTAGAGCTGGGTTTGGTTTGGTTTTATTCAACTTGTATGCCGCCCTATTCCCGAGGGACTCAGGGCGGCTAACAAAACTGGAAGGGAAGGGAAACAATACAAAAGGAAAAGAAAACAAAGACAAACAACAATACAGAACCAACTTAAAAGGTCTCAACAAGCATACCAATTCGAGTGAGGATGGAACTCAGTAGCCCCAGGCCTGCTGGAACAGCCAGGTCTTAACGGCTTTACGGAAAGCCTGAAGGGTGGTGAGGGTCCGAATCTCCACAGGGAGATCGTTCCAGAGGGCCGGAGCAGCCACAGAGAAGGCCCTCCTCCGGGTAGTTGACAGCTGGCATTAGCCGGCAGATGGAATTCGGAGGAGGTCTAGTCTGTGGGATCTAATGGGTCTTTGGGAGGTAATCGGCAGGAGGCGGTCTCTCAAGTACCCAGGTCCAATACCATGTAGGGCTTTATAAGTGACGACTAGCACCTTGAAGCGTATCCGGAGACCAATAGGCAGCCAGTGCAGCTCGCGGAGGATAGGTGTAACGTGGGTGTACCGAGGCGCACCCACAATCGCTCGCGCGGCTGCATTCTGGATAAGCTAAAGTCTCTGAACACTGGAGATGAGGGAATAGCATCTTGCTCAAACCATAATCAGCACCTTCAAAAGGACACAGGATTCACATTTATTTTATTTATTTTTCACATTTCTGAACCATCCATCTCCCTCAAAGAACAACTCTGGGTGGTGTACAATAAAGTATCAAGTGTAAGACAGTATACTATAAAATTAAAATGTTAAAGTTAAAATTTTAGAATTAAAATTATTTTTTTTATAAATTTAAGGAAGCAAAAATTAAACCCTGTTAAAATGCTTCTTTTTCTTATCACTTTCATAAATTGCTTGTTTACTATTTTTCAGTTATTAGGAACTTTTGGATCAATAAGTCTGAAAAATTCAGGTATTTTCCTTCAAGTTTCCTTCAATCCTTAATAAACAAAGTTTTAAATACAACACACACACACACAGAACTGATTAGAACTTTGATTTTGGAAAGTTATGAAATGACTTAAGTGTTAAGATGAAATATGATTCTGAATTCATTAAAATATAGTGGTACCTTGGTATTCATCATGAATTGGTTCTGAAAGGCACAAAGAGTACTGAAAAAGATGAGTACCAAACAAGTTTTTTCCCCTAAGGAATAATGTAGAGACTCACAAGGCAGTTGACCCTGACAAGTTCTAACTTGCATGTTGAGTACCAAACAAACAATGAGTACCAGGACAAAATTTTTGTGTCAAAATGGGTTGAGTACCAAATTGGATGAGTTTCAAAACAGTGGAGTACCAAGGTAACACTGTATTATAGGATGGGACTTTGAAGGTTGGACACTAGAGGGAACAAGAACCAAAGATTATAATTAATCTTTTAATTGACTGTTGCTCAGAATTGCTCTGAACTGTGAGATGGGTGGCAAATAAATTTGATAAATAAATAAGTAGATAAATAAATTAAAACAGAAGAACACTTCTTTTCTATTTACTTTTTGTAGGAGTGGCAGAACCTGGGGGCAGAGTTAAAAGAGGGACAGCCTCGAATCCCTATGTAATCACAAGTGAACTAAGTCCAACCCCCCATTGAAGTCCAACCCTTATCTAATGTTAGTTGAGAATATATATGCATAGACATGAGTAGCAATAAATCAGTTTAATTGGATCTTCATGTGTGGACATGATCTTTCATGCCTGACATTTTTCTATTTTCTATTTCCTTTCTACATCCTCTATTTTTCTTTTTTCTTTAGTTTGTATTAATTCTTTGCCATTGTAGTTATAATTTCTAATAACATTACTATTAAAATAATAAAACACAATGAAGGAGGAACAGCTTCTTTCTTTGTTTTCATGTGCAAATTCTCTGCTGGAAATTCCTATTTCAAATGCCTCTAGGTTTCATGATAGTAAAGGCATAGACATCCTTGCAAAGACATTAGTGAGACAATCACTGGAATTATCACCACCAAGCATGATCACCCTAATCTCACTTGAAGTTGGCCATGGTGCAATTATTGACCATGCTTATCTTTCCCCACCACCTGATTAGTTGGTGGCTCAGTTGTACAACCAGGGAAGGGTCTGCCTCCTCCCCCTCCTCCCTGGGAGTGTTATCTGGCCAGATGTCTTCCTCTACGCTTCTTTATTTTACTTTTAAAAAAACTTGGAAGAAATTCAGATAAGTGTGGGAGGAGCAACAGAGTCTACCCCTGGTAGAGTCCTGAAGATGTATGTTCCCCATTCCTGTTCTGATTGATGGATATTTTTCTTACAGGCTGGTGAAAGGGATGGTCCAAAGCCCAAGGAGGAAAAACAACTGTGATGTGTGTAAAGGATGGTAAACTCACAAATCAAGACAATACTATCTGACAATGAAGCAGAAACAACAGAAGCAGGAAAGGGTTTGGCCACAAGAGCAAGCAAATATTATGCTAACTTTGCTTTGTGTCAATTCTAGTTGAGTCGACATCACTTCAAGTGAATTGTGGAAAAATGACGCAGTGGGAATGGAAACATGATCATTATGTTACGGTATTGTATACCATGTATTGCTGTAGGCAATGGAAGTCTTGCTCCAAATAAATTGGCTGTCTTCTAGATGAGCCCCCTCCTTACAAAAAAATTCCCAGATACTATGATCTGCATCATGTTTCCATATGCCTTATCAAATCCTCTAAAGTTAATTTGCAAATCTTTGATTTATTGGTTTCATCTTGGGAAATGAGTTGTCTTTACAGACATGGTTTTTATGGGGGGGGGGGGGGGAACCCTATCCACTTTGGAGAACTAAACAGTACCAACACAACAGCATCAACACAGGATTTGGCCAAATCCTTGAACTGCAGACACTGTACTTGTCACGCACAGTTTCCCACCCTTACTGAACCTCTAAATGTAGCTTGAGAAGTCAGCCTGCTTGCCTTTTCCTGGTTAGAAATTGAGGCTTCAGTGCCATCTGCAGGCAAGATTCTTTTGCAACTGGTGCTGCTTTCTGACTGCCTATTTTCTTTCAGTGAGGTTTGCAAACGTTCATGCAACATGAAATGTTTCATTAAAGCATAAAGGAAAGACAAATTAAATCTTCAGAACTCACCCCCCCCCCAGCAATCTCTTTATACATGCATGTTTTTGATATTTCAGATTGATCCAATAATCACACTGTTTTTCTGCACTAGTTATTCATATGCTGACAAGATTGTGGTCAAAGCATAGGAGCTTGACAAAACAGTTTTGCTATTTGGTCCCTTTTCTCTAGAAATCAATATTTTGGACCTTTACAATTTAGTTTCTTCTTCTGAATAATTTTCTGAGAAATATCTGTGTATTGAAAAAAAAAGCAGCAGCTGCCTGATAAACAAACGTATTTTGTGATTGACTGCAGGGGTCACACATTGCACTAATCTGAACCACATCATCCATAGAATGCAACATGCAAATCCCAAGTTCACATAAAGCCTTAAGCACAACTTGGCTTACTTGTGTGTGTGTCTTGGCATGCTATATCAAATCACCTGCAGGGTTTGTAAATCTTGGTTCATATTTTTGCAAGTTATTGTAAACTCAACCAGTTGTGATTCATTCATTAAAATAACGCACTCAGTGTCTTTATCTTCTGCCTAAATCACTGCCAGGGTAGGTAAAAGTAAACACAACCTTAAATGGAGCTTGACACCAAGTGGCTGCATCTATGCAACCTTCTTGTTTTCGTTATGCTCCTGAAGACTACATGGGAGCTTTTCCAAAATAAAAAAAAAGTGTTCAGTCCCTCTAAGAAAAAAAAACAATTTCAACTCTCTAGCAATTGTACTACACTTTCAGAGTCTCAAACCACGGCGTTCAACGCACTGCAGCTAATTAACAACGGACACTCGGTTCGTCTCGCACGCTCTACTTACGCGGAAATGGTTCCCTCGCCTCTCGCTCCAGCTATTCAAAAGGGGCGGTCTGGGGAGGCGTGGCCTCCACAAGCCGCGCCCCGAATGCATTCTTGAGTTTCTGCCTTGTTTAGCCTAGCCCGGCAGGGTTGCGGATCGTGTGATTGACACGGACCAAAGTTATCCCGGAATAAAGGAAGCACGCATGTGCCATCACACCGGATGTGAACATGCGTACTTGCGCCCCCCCAGCTTGCTTTACCCGGGAACTCGCTTTGTTAAAAAAATGAAATCCGTGCCGAGCCGTGCCAACTTATCCGATCCGTTCTGCGGCTTTTAGAGCTGCAGAAAGGGGTAGTGGGGGGAAAAGGCCATCTTTCTCACCCTCTCCCTTCTCAATGAACAAAAGCCTTAGGTTTCCCAGGACCAATACACTAAACCAAGCCAAGCCCGTTCCAGTCCCGGGAGGGCTTCCTTGCAAGGCTCAAGCCATAGCCGCTGCATGGCTTTTCGTGTCTCCCCTCCTACGCCTTTGGGGCTTTGACTTTTGATCCTTAAAAAAACGGGAGGTGGGCGCGGTGGAGAGATCGGAAGCCGGGGAAAGCATGGATTTTCGAGGCAAGAAGTACGAGCGGGGCACTAACTGGTCGGATCCCGAGGTGGTGGAACTTCTGCAGCTGTGGGCTGACGAGTCGGTGCAGGCGGAGCTGGAGAGCTGCCTGCGGAACCAGCACGTCTTCAACCGGATCGCCGAAGTGCTGCGCGAGAAGGGCATCCACCGCACCGGCGACCAGTGCCGGGAGAAGATCAAGAAAATGAAGCTGGAATACCGCCGCATCAAGGACAACAACAAGGCTCCGCGCGGGGGCAGGACGTGGAAGTTCTACGAGGTGATGGACCGCGTCCTGGCCAGCCGTCCTCCGCTCGTCTATAGCGCCACCGGCAACGGCAACGGCAGCTACGTGTTGACGCAGCAAGGGCTCCCGGGTGGGGTGGTGGAAAGCTACCATCCCCACTTGGGCCCTTCTTCGGCGCTGACCTTCCCACCCTCTCAGCCCCCCGAGCAGATGGAGATCAAATGCGAGGAGGTGGATTCAGAAGACCAGTGCTTGATGCCTGAGCCTCTGCCTTCTCTCACTACTTACCAGCCTGGGGGCTCTGCTGAGGAGCAGGAGATAGACAGGGCCTTCCTGGAGAGGTCCCAGCCTGACTCACCCATCTCCAGGGTGGAGATCCCCATTGAGACCACTGTCTCCCTCTCAGGTAGGAATGCCACATCGATTCAGGCCATCCTGCAGAGCTTCTGTCCTGCTCCTGAAAAAAAGGCTTGAGTAGAGGCCACAATTCCGGGTTCTTTAGGAGCACATTGGGTGGCAGGAACCCTACAGCATCTCTGTGGGTTTCATTGCCCACAGAGATGCTAGTCATTATGAAAGGTTTCTCCAGGTTTCCTATCTTCTTGCTTTTGACCTGAGGAGAATAGCTGGATCTTTTTTGCAGGATCTAACTGGACATCCTGTTAAATGGGCATCTGCCAAAACGGTATGGGTATTGGGAAGCAGTTAAACAGCACACAGTAAATTGTAATCCTCTTTTCCAAAGTCCTACAATAAAGACTTAGAAAAAAACTCCAAGAGAGGAACACTACTGTCCTGGCCGCTAATCTTTCTTTCCTCCTCAATACTTCCTCCTTAAGAGTTCTGCCATTTTTAGGGAACGTTTCTCACCTCCTTTCTCCCCTTCAAGTGAACACTGGGGAAAAGAGAAATAGGATCACAGTGCAAGAAGTGAAGTTGGTCTGCTAACTGAGCAGTGCCATGCAGCGGGTTGGATTTGATTTCAATCAAGTCGATTTAAATCACTATTAAAAAGGCTTGATTTAAATAAATTTGATTTAAATCATAATTTTTAAAGAGCAACTGTCATCTCTGTCCCACAGCAGCTCCTCCTCTGACCTGCCGTTGACTCGCCGACAGGACAGTCCCATTCATTTTAATGGGATGGCTGGTGATGTGGCAGTGACACAAGGTGAAGGATGTGGCAGGCAGCAAGTGAGTGGATGCTCACTAATAGGCACTGCCATGATGGATCTGAAATGAAAGGTGCTCTTTAATATATTTGTAAGCTGCTTAGAAAGTTTCACTTTCATTTTTACTGCCTGCCCTTCCTTTTCACAATTAAGAGGCTGCTGGTACAGATGCATTTCTCTTCCAACAATCATCCAGTTTGTAGTGTACATAGATTTGCAAAACAATGGAATAAGGGAATATTCCTGAACTTTGTTATATTTTTAAGTCTATCAAATATTTTAATATTTTAAATCAACATAACTGAAGCATGCTTGGAAACTAACCTTTGTAGTGTTTGATGTGCCAACAGTAGCTTTAAACCAGGACAGACAATATTTAAAAAAGATTTAAATGAATTCAGGACAGAAGTAAATGGCTTTGGATCTCATAGAGACCAATCAGTTCTGATTACAAGTCAAAAGTACCCTGGAGGTTTAAACTCCACCAAGCAAATATGCAGTACTTAGTTATTTAAACACCTTCAACTCTTCATAAGCAGGCACAAAGTGAGTTTCTGCTACTGTTCTCACCATTCATTTTTCCCTGGACCATAAGAGCACCTGAACAGAGTAGGCTTTGTTAAAGCAGAAGAAACATATAGTAATACCTGTGACTATGGATTGGTGGAGTTCTGTTATTAGTTTTAGGCCAAGAGGAAACAGCATTCTTGGGAATTTTCTTTTAGCAATCTCAGCATATGATTGATTGTTTACGGAATAATTTAGGAAATGAGCTATTTTTGGTTGGGAGCAAAACACTGGGATTCATAAAAGAAGTTGATTACTTGGCAAATATTGTCTTTTTCATCAGTTTTGGTCTCTCAGAAGTTATTGGGTCTTAGAATCTTGTAGAGATGACATAGATATTTCAAATAGAATTGTCCATTTGACAATGTCTTAGGAAATCACCTTTATCCTTCTGAGGTCTCAAAATACTTTTACTCAGGGTTTAGTATAATCCAGGATTCTCTGTGTGTTTCTTTATACCGTATTTTTCGGAGTATAAGATGCTCCGAAGATGCACCTAGATTTTGGGGAGGAAAAAAAGGGAAAAATATCTGCTTCTGCCTCCCAGCAATTTGCCTCCTTGCAACAAACAGTACA